GGTGACTGATAATGTGGGAAGTAAACAAGAAAAACTGCGTGGTGTCTGCACATTTCCTGGAAGATGGTGGTGGTGTTTACCATAATAGAAAATACTGAAAAAGGAACAAGTCTGTAGGAAAAAATTATGGTGGAAGCAAATGTAGAAGATAGCCAGCTTGAGCCAGACGATGGGGACAATAACATGGGAAAAGGACCTAGATCCTTAAATGACCTTATAGGATAAAACCACCCTACCAACCTTAATACTCTTAGCACTACTGTTTGAGAGAATAATTTATATTGTTAAAACATACATAATACCCAAAATAATCAGCTAAGTCAGTGCAGTCCCTATCAAAATTCCAATGGCATTTTCACAGATACAGAAGAAACAATTCCCAGCTTTATATGTGGAACCACAGAAGATTCCAAATAGTCAAAGCAGTCTTGAGAAAGAAAAACAAAGCTGGATGCATCACACTTCATGATTTCAAAACCTATTACAAAGCTTATACTAATTAAAACAGTAATGTGTTAGCATAAAAACAGACACACACAGATGAGTGGGACAGAACAGAGCACCCAGAAATAAACCCCCATCTATATGGTCAACTCATTTATAACACAGGAACCAAGAATATACAGTGGGAAAATGACAGCCTCTTCAATAAATGGTGTTGGGAAAACTGGACAGCCACATGTAAAAGAATGAAACTGGACAACTATCTTACACCTTACATAAAAATCAACTAAAAATGGATTAAAGACTTGAACATAAGACCTGAAAACAGTAATATTCCTAGAAGAAAACATAGGGGTTAAGCTCCTTAACATCTGTGTTGGCAGTGTTTTTGGATTTGACACCAAAAGCAAAGACAAGAAAAGCAAAAATAGGTAGGTGGGACTACATCAAACAAAAAGCCTCTGTACGACAAAGGAAATTAACAAAAGACAACCAGTGTAATGAGAGAAAGGTTTGCAAATCTAGTATATAAGGGGTTAATATCCATACTATATAAAGAACTACAACTCAGTAGAGGAAAAAACACAATCTGATTATTAAAATACAGGTAGAGGACCTGAACATTTTTCCAAAGACCACGTACAGATGGCCAACTGGGTAAAGGTGCTTCCCTGATCATCAGGGAAATGCAAATCAAAACCACAATGAGATATCACCTCTCACCTGTTAGAATGGCTGTCATCAAAAAGACAAGACATAACCAATGTTGGTGAGGATATGAAGAAGAGGGAACCCTGTTGGTGAGAATCTAAACTGATGTAACCACCATGGAAAACAGTATGGAGTTCCCTGAAAAAAAATTAAAAACAGAACTTCCATATGACCCAGCAGTTCCACTTCTGGGTATTTGTCTGAAGGAAATGAGATCACCGTCTTGAGAAGACGTCTGCAGCCCCATGTTCATTGCAGCATTATCAGCAGTAGCCAAGACTTGCAAACAACCTGAGTGTCCATCAACAGATGGATAAAGAAAATGTGTATAATACACATGCACGTGTGCACACACACAGGAATATTATTCAGGCATTAAAAAAAGGAAATTCTGCCATTTGCAACAACATAGATGGGTCTTCAGGGCATTATGCTAAGTGAAATGAGAGAGAGACCAACACTATATAATGTCGCTTATATGCGGAATCTTTACACACACACACACACTGAACTCATAGATACAGTGAACAGATTGGTGGTTGTCAGAGGTGGGGGGTGTTGGGGGATGGACAAAATGAGTGAAGGTGGTCAAAAGATACACACTTAACAGTTGAAAGATAAAAACAGTCCTGGGGATGTAATACCGTGGTGACTTTGAGGGATAAAAAAGAATCAAACAGAGACGTTCTTACAGAACAGAATATAAAAGTTGATCTTGACAAAATAGAAAAGCTGGCAAGTTAAGAAGTACAGGAAGTGATGGGAGGGTAGAGAAAGTATCTTATAAAGTAGAGGGATGAGGTACTGTCAGAACTGATGGAACAAGAAATAAAGGTTTAAATAACGATCATTTAAATTTATAGAGAAACAAACTGGTATTTTAAATATAAGAAATGGGACAGTCTGAGGAAGAAGGTGGTAATGAGCTAAAGCCTCATCCATATAGCAGGAAGTAAGAAGATAATATCTAAACTTAATAATGCACACAGTAACGTGAGTATATTATTTAGAGCTATGAAAATAATCACTAAAATTAAAAACAAATGATTAAAGATGGTTTCCTCAAGGAAGGGGTGAAGCCAAATATACTGACTTATATAAACTTGTTAGTAACTGCATCAAGTACTAAAAAATGATTTTAATATTCTTACCCATATTAATAAAACTGGTTCATCATTTTCAGAATTGGTTTGACTTTGTTAGATTTATTTCTACATATTTTATTCTTTTTAATGCTATTATAAATAGAACTGTTTTCTCAGTTTCATTTTTGAAATTCGACCATTGAACTTTTTATCTTATGAAATGCCCCTCTTGTTGGTAATACTGGTTTATCTTTTCTGTTGTCTGATAGTCACCCTAGTTCTCCTAGGGTTACTCATTTATTTTTAAAAGAAATACGTGTATATGCATATTTAGAACAAAAGAGTAGACAAACACTAAAATGTTAATAAAAGTATCTGACCTATATAGAATTATGAGTTTTGTGGGGTTTTTGTGTATCTTGAGTTCTGTGATACATCTATTAAAATTAGGGGGGGAAAGTGACTTAATGTAAATCAGCTACATTTTTGTTGTTGTTGCTACAGATGGCAGCAATTGACTCTAACAGGTAGAAAAAGGAATTTTTCAAGATATTGGGACTAGTCATAGAACCAATAGGACAGCTGGAGGACCAGGCTCAGAAGAGGGAGGAGCTCTGGAAGCTACAGGCCTCAAGGTAGCAGAAACTCCTTAGCCGTCTCGTCTAGTTCATGCCACAGGAATAAATGAACTCTTTTTGTTCTCTATCAAGATTCAAAATCCAGAAGTGAGAGTCTTGCCTGAGTCAAATAAATCTTTGACACTTGATGAGGAAAATACATGGCACTTTCAGTTACATGGTCCCAGGACTCCACACAGTGGGACCAAAGAACCCCCAAAATGAAATTAGGTTGCTATTATCAAAAGAAGGGAAATGAATTCTGACAGCTAAAAAGCAAGCAATGTTCACTAAAATACTCAACTTTTTGTTAGTGCAGAATTATAGTTTATAATGCTAGTCATAAAAGCAGTGATCAAATAAGAAATGGTTTTGAGGGGCGCCTGGGTGGCTCAGTCGTTGAGCGTCTGCCTTCGGCTCAGGTCATGATCCCGGGGTCCTGGGATCGAGCCCCGCATCGGGCTCCCTGCTCCGCGGGAAGCCTGCTTCTCCCTCTCCCACTCCCCCTGCTTGTGTTCCCTCTCTCGCTGTGTCTCTCTCTGTCAAAATAAATAAATAAAATCTTTAAAAAAAAAAGAAATGGTTTTGAATACAATGATCCCAGTTATTGTCCCACATCCCATAGAGGACTTACCACACTGAAGTTCTCCCTCACAGATTTCTCTCCCACTTGACTATGAGTTGCCTGTGTTCCATGAAGCAGTTAAATTCAATTAGAAAATGAAGAAATAGAGATCTTTATAATCATATAGAAGACTTTGTAATAATGTAGCACTTCCTAGGATGTTATCTTCTTGGTTTACCTAATCATCTTGTGCTTACTCCTCAAGACTCAGCTCAAGCACTGCCTCATTCAGAAGCCTTTCTCCCTTACATCCTCCTATTGCGTCCCATTCTGGCTAAGAGACCTCTCATCCATGCGCATGACACTATTATTCTCATCCACCTCTGTCATATTGGATCATTTGTCTGTCTCCCACACTAGCCAGACTGGCAGACTATCTTGTTTTTCTTCGATTCTCCAGCTCCTTACACAGTGTCTACACATTCACTAAACACTTGCTGAATGATTGAATGAGTCTGCCAGAGCAAAGGAGTAAGGCGAACGTTCTGTCTAGAACCCAGCGTGTATAAAGACATGGCACATGGGATGTGAGCGTGATGAGAAGTTCTGTAGGATTAGAGCAGAGAGAGGTTAATGGGAGAAGAGACTGGTGAGTTTGACTAGAGTTGGTCTTTAAAGGACCATTTATATCAAGTTTAGAGAATTCTGTAGGCCTGAGAACAGTGGAGATTTGGCCAGGGGAGGAGGGCAGGACACTAGAGGCTGTTGGATGGCTAAACACTGGTTGGGGCTGGAACTAGGCAAAGAGAACCCTCAGGTGGGAGCAAATTCAGCTCCCAGACGCTAGGCACTTTCTAGGGACTGGGAATGCGGTAGTAAGTAATACAGAGATGTTCCCCCGGAGCTTCGTTCTAGTAAAGACAGATAAAGACAACAGATAGACACAAAGCTGTATGTACACATTCGCAAAACTGAAACGCCACATTGCAAGTAAAATCTTCCGGAATCACACTGTACAGGTAAAGCTTTGGAATAGGCCAGAGAGGCTCTCTCTCGCGTACAGAAGGGAACCTCCTTTTACAGCCCCCATGGCAAGCATTTACTGCTCAGTTTTTGTATGTACAGTGACCAGTATTACACAGCCTTAACTGGTCTCAAGTAAGCGGTTTGTAAGCTCTGAACTGTAGAAATACGTTTGTAGTATTTATGCACTCTCCACAAGGTGTTGCAAAGAAATAACGGTCACAGTAATACTTTCTTCTTTAGCAAAAGTGACTTTCCCATTTCATATTACACATAGGGATAATCTTTTCTAAAGCTTAATTGAATGCATGATACTATAAATGAAAGGCAGTCCTTGCATATATTATTGGCAAGTTGCGTTTGTAGCTTACAGTTTCTAGTGCCTGAAAAACAGTCTGGCATTTTTACGACTTCGTCTACAACCTTGCCAGATGTTTGGGGTTTCTTTTCAGTTGAAGGGAGCCCATTAGTCTTGATTCTCGACACACACATTAGACGCCTCTGCACGTGATGGCGGACTCCTTCAGTATTAATGGCTATTTCCTCTCTTTTCAGGGTGCTGATAAGACCGTGAAAGGTCCAGATGGACTAACTGCCTTTGAAGCCACTGACAACCAGGCAATCAAAGCCCTTCTTCAGTGATGGACGGATGGGCTGCCAGCTCTGGAAGAAGGGCTCTCCCGTGGCCTCACACTGCTGCCTGTCTGTCTGTCACTCTCTAGCTGCCAGCTTCTTCAGCTAAATACTTTAACAGGGGTGAGGGGAGAGAGAAATTCATAACCAGTCAGACCACCAGAAAAAAAACATGTTTGGGAAGAGAGGAAAAAACCGTGATCAGGCTTTTACTGGGACTCCTGATCAAGTCTGCCTCTTTTCCATTTCCAACAAAATACACAGCTTATGCCCAAGGGAGAGCAAAGACAAACCATAGCAGTACCATTTGACCCTTTCAGCTCCCTAGCTAGTTTATTCATGAGATCATGTCGAGGGCCTGATCCTACCGAGGCCAGCTCTCCGAGTGTGGTAGCCGTAACTGTGAGCAGCGGCGGCTGCTGGGACCTAACTCTGGGTGCTGAGATAAGCAATCAGCTCTAGCCTTCTGCCTTAAGACGCACTCTCCTGGGGGCCTCCTGGCATAGTTAAGAGCGCTGCCCGTGGTCGGCGACCAAATCTTCCCTCAGCGACTTTCAGCTTTACGTGAGAGCTCAGTTAAGGTGAGGGGGCACACTCCTAAATTGCTGGATGACTCAACTTTGGATTTCCTCTCCCCTTTCACATGGATTTCATGTATCTTTAGATAAAACTGACTAGTTTTATTTATAAAACCTTAAATTTTGGAAGCCTACAGGAGAAATCATTCCAGTGTGCGTATTTTTTTCTCCTCTAGATTCAGACGTTTATATAACATTGAAACACTTTCAGACTCCTGCTGGTAGTAAAAGGGGATTTAAACATAGAATCATAGCCATAGCCTGTTAGTATCCTCTAGAGAACAGTTGTCTTAGTACCTATGGATTTTCTTCATTTGCTCTTTGAATGGATTGGCCTCGGTTATGTTTGGAGAATCAAGGAACATTCTTTGGAAATCCTCTCTCAGACCCACCTTGGATGCTGATTACTTACTGCACCAAAGCTATCACTGGGGTGAGATTTACGGTCTGGACAAATTGAGCCCTGTCCCTTCAAAAGTTTGCTCGTTACCAGGTTTCCCCAACTTGTCGATAGGCTTCTGCTGAACATATGCCAACCCATCTGCATAACCTATTTTTGTTTCTTTACTAAACCATGCATCACATTAAGTGTGACCCCTTCGAAATGTATTCTGTCTTCTTAAAATACAGTGCCCTACAAGGGGTGTTCTGACCTGCAGGAAATATTTAGACACATGTTCAAATGTTTATTTCATGAGCAGTACAATGAATTAAAACATACACCCTTAAATTTGCTATTTCACATTTAAAATATTGACTCCTTTGACTTGCCATCCATAAAAGCTTGCTAAAAATATTAGGGTTTTTCCTTAGCCAAATCATGCAATAATTGAATGTACCTCAAATTTTTAAAGGGGGGTTGGGTTAGGGGCTTGTATTCAGATTATGGATAACAAAGAATTATGATTTTTTAAGGCAATGTAGCATTCTAAAACAGGGTTAAACTAGTATCAAAAGTAGCCAGCTAATAACAAATCTTATTGATCGGTTTGTTATGGTGTGGGTTTATGCGTGTGTGTGCGTGCGCGAGTGTGTGTGTGTGTGTGTGTATTTTTCCCCATGAATCTTTTTTTTTTTTTTTAATCCTGTGGCTTTTTGCTTACAACTAGCCTAACCCTGTAATTTTCCTGCATCCAAGAAAACAATCACAAACAAAATGGTGGTTTAAATACTTTGATATATTTGGCTAATAATTCTGCTGTCTTAGTGCAGATTAGAGTTGGATTAGAAGTCAGTAAACAGTACTTTATTACATCACTGAATGGAAACAGAGCTATCCTCATTGAAGACGGAGGGCACTTTATCAGTCTGTATGTTGGTAGCAACAAGGTGTTTCTATATTTTCGTTTTCACCTCTTGGCTTGGATTTTTACCTTTCCTTTCAAACTGTTGTGTTGCAGTTGGCTATTGCAGAGAGTGCACTGTCCTATCATTCCTGAACTTGGTCTGCTTTCCACAGTCACCTGGTGGAGAAGCCACGTGATTCTTTGTACAGTTCATCCCGCTGTTCCTTGTATTGCAGTAGAGGCTACTTCGCCTTCCCTCTTTCTCAGCCATTTTGTAAGCCCCAGAATTATGGGGCGATTGCTTGAGAAAATAACGTAAACATAGAATAGACTGGCCGAGATGGTTTACAATTTCTGTTTTTTTTTTAACTAGGTTATTTATAATGTATTTCCGAACCACTTGGCAGAGAAATTCACAACACTTAATGTTCATTTCTTGAGTAAAGGAAGCTAAAAACATGTCTGCTTTTTGGTACTACATGCATTAGTGAAGGGTTAAGTAAGTTTTGTTCTCCACTGAATATTTAACATCTCAGAAAAAATCTTGCATGTTCTGTAGTTTTTGTATTAAGTCAGTCATTTTGTATGCACTCTATCAAGTAAAAACAGGCGGTTTACCTGTTTACATTAGTATCCTAACAAATTCCGCCCCCTTGCAGCTTCAGACTGGCATCTGTATACTTAGAGTTCAAACACAGCACCCAAGAATACCCAAGTAGTTCTTCTAGGCATAGCTCACCTACACCCAGCGGGGCACAAAGGAGAGGTGGGTGGGTACAGTGTGTGCAAGCTGCAAGTAAGGCCCTTTACTCATTGATTTCTTTCCCCCCCGATAATGGATCTTAAATCTAGATGTACCGACTTTTTTTTCCTAAAACTTCAACGGAGCTGCTCTTTACTTCCATGCAATATTGTGTACTCGATTGTGTATAGAAGAAGCTGGTGAGAGTGCCCTCCTATATAAGCAATTGCAGTGTTTTGCATGCAAAATTTTAAGAATTTAAATCATCCTGATTCTATTTTGTAAATGGAGAAACAATCATATCTTTCTAAGCAGTAATGGAGGAAGACTAGTGCTTTGTGCATTTTGATATATTTGAGTTCATTTTTTCCATCATGTAATACTTTTGACGCAATTGGGTTTCTCATATGATCCTAGTTCATGTACATCCGAATGCTAAATAATACCGTGTTTCAGTTTTGTGTTGCAAGAACAAATGGAATAAACTTGAATTGTGCTACAAGGAACGTGTCGGCAGCTTTTCCTCCCTCAGCTCCTGCGGCCTTCCTTTCCAAACCCTTTTCTCACAGCTTGACCCAGCCTCTGGTGGACTCCAGCTTTGGGTTCATCCAAATTTCCCTTCGTAACCCAATTCTAGGAAAAAATAAGTGGAAAGGAAATAAGACAGGAAAGATTTAATTGAAATAAACTGTACTACTCCTCATCTGGAAGTTTTGCTTTTGTATCGGTCTCCTGATACAGACTGGTTCACTTACGAACGTTCAGTAATCCTGGCTTCCTAAAAGCAAGGGCTAGCCAGCGTATCCTGGAGCATCCGGGTCAGAATCATGGGCAGCCGCTCAGATCTTTCCTATTTCAACTGAGGCTGCTGCACATCCCGAGGTTCACGTTTGCCCAACGTACTTGACCATGAGCGCTCTTTTAGAGTGTAGTTTTCAGAACAAATGTTCTGATGGAACATTAAATCACTCTGAACCTCAAAATCTGAACCAGATTATATTCAGCTTGATTCTGTTGTAATCTTGTCAACAACCTAAGACAACTGTGTATTTTTCTTTTGAAATGGCCTATGAATAATACGTGCAGATGCGCAGTAAAAGAGAGCAAAAGCTATCTTTCAGGACCTTCATGTTGCCAACCAAGGTTTAAGCATGGGGTAGCATGTAGGGGTGGATGTGAGTCTTCACAGGAGATTTTTTGATCAATGAAACTTCCATTTTAAGAATTGGGGTCTTATCAGGGGTTCCTGGGTGGCTCAGTTGCTTAAGTGTCTGACTCTTGATTTCAGCTCAGGTCATGATCTCAGGGTCCTGGGATGGAGCCCGCATCCAGCTCTGCACTCAGTGGGTAGTCGGCTTGAGATTCTCTCCCTCTGCCCCCTGCCTCTGCTCGCACACACTCTAATATCTTAAAAAAAAGAAGTGGGGTCCATCTAAGTGTTTAAATCTAGTTAAATACATGTTAAAGGGAACAGAGCATCTTCTATAATCATTGAACAAACCAGTTATTAGTCAACGGAAGGCACACATCTGGACAAAAAGCACTTAGAGTTACTGTGAAAATCTTTTGCGATTAGACACCAGCTATCACAGGACCCTGACGCAACACAGTAGATCGGATTGTTACTGCATTTTTTTTTTTCCTTCTATGAGACCAGGGATTCTCAAAATGTCCCTGGCCTAGCCACATCACCGCCACCTGGGGACTTGACTGAGGTGCCCAGTCCGGGCCAACCGAATCCAAGCATGGGCTGAGCCCATCAGTCCATGTCGTAACAAACCCTCCGGGGCATTCTGATGCACACCTGAGTTTGAGGACCACTGTGAGCGACCATAAAGACAAAGAGTCTAAAAACCTGTAAATGGGAAGTCATCGAGGGTGGCTTCCTAGAGATGAAGTAAATGGAAGCCTTTAACACGGCAGACACAGCAAAAATGGACGCCCAAGAAAATCTTAAGATGAGCCTCAAAGTTACACTCTGGGCAAAAGAAGTGAAGGTAAGACGTCACAACGGCTCCAAAGATAAAACGCTGATGAGAAGGACCCTTTGTTATTAGGGTTTTTTCCCCTGCAGGATGTCCTGTCAACTGCTGTGGGTAGTATTTCCACAGGAGCCCAGGGTTAGAGTCCCCATGGGCGAATTGCTTGAGCCCTCCCCAAGTCCTTTCCTTGAATCCCCCAGAGGGGTGAGGAGGCATGCAAGGAATTTGGGAAGATAGGTCATGGGTCTCCTTGTCTTGAGCTTGGCACATTGCAGATCACTGCGATTGCTCCAGTCACTTAGCCGGGTCCCCGCTGGTTTCTGCCCCGCAATCCTACAGCAGGAGACAGCCACACTCGGAGGCCAGTTCTGCTTTCTCAACCCCAGTGCCCTGTGCTGTCGTTACTGCTGTGAATATGGATCCTTCTCTGTGGTGCGGGCACCACTAGATCGGAAACAGCCACCTGCCTGTCACCTAACCATGGTCTGTGTAGGGTCAACTACCCTGCCCAAATACTAGCCCCATCATCACTCATCAGCCATAGGACATTTTTCTTCAAGGCTATTTCATTGAAATAATAATTAACTGATTGAGAATAAAATTTATCAGCAGCTTTTATAGCACCTGCCACTTGGTAGACATACACTGTATTCGTTCTGAACTACTCACGTCAAATCATTATACAGTCAAATAGGAGATAAGCTTTGTTTTCAGTAAATCGTGACTAAAGAATCGCTGTTAGGACCGTGGGGCTACACCTAAGTGTCACTGTACCCAAATGTTGGCCCCGTAGTGCTTTAAGTACTAGTGGGACCACAAACCCCAATCAGTGAAGTAAAGACAAACATCACAGTCACAACCACAACGATGCATTGAGGAATGCTGACCATGGGGTCAAATGCAGGTCACTGAGCCACTGTGGCAGATACCAAAGCACAGCCGTCAATAGCCAGACAAAGGACTGTCTGGCCACCCTAGCAACTTCTATGCATTCAGCAGCTGCCGCAGCAAGGACAGTCTTATTTACAGCTTGGATAGAATGATGGGTCACACGTCTGGCAACATCCACAGTCACGGCATCTTATTACACAAAGGAAAATAACGCATAGACAATTCCTGATCCCTGGGTGCTGGTTTTGAGGATAATACTAGATAACTAGAATCTTTTTTTTTTAAAGCAGCGATACTTTCCTAAGCTTTTAGTAACAAATCTGACAACGTATTACGTTATCTGTAGGTCCCTGCCTGGCCTCTAATACTGTTCCGTGTGTTCGTGCACATCCCCCGTGGCTGGCTACCAAGTCTCTCTGTGGCCACTGCATGGGATTTGCTAGTCAGATCTGAATACTTTCAATAGGCTTGCAAGTACTCAGATCTATGCTACCTTTTTTTTTTTTTTTAAGATTTTATTTATTTATTTGGCAGAGAGAGACACCTAGAGAAGGAACACAAGCAGGGGGAGTGGGTGAGGGAGAAGGCTTCCCGCAGAGCAGGGAGCCCGATGCGGGCCTTGATCCCAGGCGTCCTGGGACCATGACCTGAGCCGAAAGCAGACACTTAACCGACTGAGCCACCCAGGCGCCCCAGATCTGTGCTACTTTTACCACTAAATTTTTTGATTAACATTTACTGCATGCAAGTTAGGAGCTAGGCATTGTGCAGAGGACTTTTTAACCACATGACCTTATCCAATCTTCACAATCATTGTTTTTAAAAAGGGAGACTAAGAAATGTTAAAGAACTTGCTCACAGTCAATAGCTCCCGAACGGTAAAATTTAGTTCTGATCTGAGTGCCCAAGCTCCTTCAAAGTAGGTGAAAATAAAAGGTGTTTTCCCCCAGATATCCAAAACCAACCACAGAACACTGCCCTGGTCTGCAGAGGAGACTGGGTGGCGCTCGTGCGGTCTTTCTCAACAGTAGGTCTCCAGAACGTACTTCACATGACCGAATCGTTGTCCCCTCCCCCTGGCCCTGGGCACCTGCCATTCTTCTGCTCTCTACTTATGGCAGTCTATTTTAGATTCCACATATAAGTGGGACCATGCAGTATTTGACCTTTGTCTGGCTTAGTTCACTTAGCATGATACTCTCACCGTCTATTGATGTTGTAAATGGCACAATTTCCTTTTCCAAGGCTGAATAGGACCTCGTAGGTCTATAACCACAGGTTCTTTATCCATTTGCGTATCGACATTTAGGATGTTTCCTATCTCGGCTCCTGTGAATAACGCTGCAGGGAACATGGGAATGCAGATCAGATCTCTTTAAGATCTAGACTTCAACTCCTTTGGATATACACCCAGAAATAGGATTGCCGGTGTCTCAAGCACACCATAAAGGCGTACATCAGTGGTGTCTTTCCACAATGTCAGCTTTATTCAATCATAAAGCAAGGTTAACTATAATTGTCAAACAGGTTCAGGATTCCAAACTCAATGACCTATAACTTGGCTTCATACCTGTCACACAAAGTACAATACAAAGTCAACAACAAAGAAGATACAGGGAGGCCTAAGAAGTTAACACAGCAAACTCAAAGTCTGTCCGTGAGCAGGCAGCTGAGATGGGGACTCGGTCCAGTCCAGGTCAACGCTCAGCGCTGACTGCTAATTCTGTCTAAGCAGTGGAGGATCTTTATCATGGTCAAGATCTATTGGGCAGAGCCTTAACGTGCAGCTGCCTTTTCAGTGCGGTCAGTCGTGGAAGAGTCCACGTCGAGAGTTTGACAATATGTTATATCTGCTGCAAAAGTCATCCCTTCTTAAAGGAGTTTAATCAGTCTTGGGCCTTTGCAGGCCTCTTCTGGTTCTCATGATTACCAGCTCTCAGTTCTTCTAGGCTCTCTTGGCTTGGATGCTTTTACCAGCTCTGAGTGTCATCAGCCTGTGCAGGTTTTGGTGATAACTGGTCTTGGCTGCTACGCCCTTGGCTGCTTACGTCACTGCTTGACATGAATCACTGCTTGACATGAGGGACTCCATCTTGCTCTCTACGGCTTGATTAGATGTTAATTCTAGTTTTAGTATTTTGAGAAACCTCCACATTGTTTTCCATAGTAGCCACACTAATTTACATGCCCACCAACAATCTGGACAACAAAAGCTCCCTTTTTTCCACTTCCTTGCCAACACCTGTCCATTGTTCTTTTGATAATAGCCAACCTAACATATAGGAGGCAATAATTCATTGTGGTTCAGATTTGCATTTCCCTGAGGATTAGTGATATGGAACACAGTTTCATATTCCTGTTGGCCATTTGTAGGTCTTCTTGGAAAGCAAGGTCTTTTGGAAAGAAAAGGTCTCATTTTTTAAATTGAGTTACTTGGTTTGATTGCTATTGAGTTATAGGAGTTCGTTATAATAACTCCTCATCAGATAAATGGTCTGCACATATTTTCTCCCATTCCATATGTTGCCTTTTCATTTTGTTGACAACTTCCTTTGCTGTGCAGAAGCTTTTTAGTTTGATGTAATCCCACTTCATTTTTGCTTATGTTGCCTCTGCTTTCGGTGTCATA